TGGGGAAAAATCTGGCACCGCAAAGACTTGATAAACCTGTGAAATCTGCTCTGCTAAGAGTGCTTTCATTCATATGATAAGGGTCCGAGAGGAAATGAGTATGTCTCCCAAAGTTTCTGCAACTCTCTTCCTGACAGACACTGACTCAGATCTCTTTGTAATGTTATCTACTGTTTGATCCTTGCCGTCCTGTATTCCTGTGTATTACAACCCAATAAAAGGCTATGGAAGAGGACGCTTGAGGCCTTTTTCTCCTTGGAGAAACTGGCCGCTGCTGGCCTTTTTCTCCCCTGAGAAACTGGCCACAGTCCACTCCTCCTCCCCAAGCAGATCTCATCTTGTCTCGGCCATATTTATTCATTCACGTGTGTCCGTGGCCCAGGGGGGGACTCGTGGAGAAGTTCCCCCACAAATATATAATGGGATAAAGATAGTTTATTTAATAAATGGTGCTGGGACATTGCCTTCCCCAAAGGTTACCCACATCTTGGTCAATTCTTTACTAGTTTCAGCATTACAGATTTTTGGCCAATAGTATTGTTTAAATTTTCTATCTCTTTAAAATTTTAGTTGGCTATATTAGGCTTTCTTTATGGTTTGTGCCTTTTGTTCAACATTTTTGTGATGGAGAAGATGAAAAATAACTATAACCATTGTAGGATATTTTTATTTGTATCCCAGTAGATGATAGTGACTTTCTCTCTATTTCTCCCCTCCCCCCACTAAAATGTTTACAGTTAGTACGATAAAACCAATGAGGAGGACATGATGGGTTTTTTACCTACTGGAATATATGTTCTGCATTTTAAGTATTTTTAAGAATTTGCCTTCTATGCAGAACCTTCTTAAGCCATATATTGAATACCCTTTAAAGGTAAAAAGCATTAAAGTCCTGTATTAATTCATTAAAAATATATATATATATCTAGTGTCCATCCATCAATACTAAGGGATTTGTAAACCTATACCTTTAGAAGGTGAAATTAGAAGATGAAACATTCTGCCATTAAATTTTTTACCAGGAGCTTTTAGTAACATGGGGAAGTGATTGATAGTTGTGACATGTGAAGTGGGTGAAAGGTGCAAACTTTTACATCTTGTGAAACCTCAACTCTGTTTCGGGGGAGAGGCATTTAAAAATAGGAAGAAATATGTCTAACATATAGTATGGGTTGTTGTAAAGTAAATATTATGTTGATATTTTTCTGATTCTTTGTTTCTGTGTTTTTCAAATATTCTGCATTGGACACATTCCATTGATAATTAGATAGTTGTATTTGATCATTTTTGTTTTTAAAGAATCTTCTTTAAAATAGAGGTGGGAAAGAATACAAAAATTTTCTTAATAAGCAAATAATATGTAGCTCTTTGTTTTTTATTTTTTCTTTACCTAACACTGCATTTGGGACATTTTGAAGAGAGATGAAGGTGATTAGTAAAAATAACTCACTGAGGCAATACCATTCACAGTCTCCAGTACAAGTTTCAGTGATTTTGATAGAATCCCCATCACTTGATATTTTACTACTTTTAAAGGATTCTTGAGCATAGATAATCTCCAATCAGGTGGTGATTTTTAACAGATACAAGCAAAATGCACTGAGAGCTAGAAGAAAAGTGGTTATTTGCAGCGGGACATTCAAGAAGACTCTGAATATGAGGTAGAGTAAACCAAACACTGGGTGGGAGACAGCCTGGGTTATAGACTGAAGTTAGCTATCAGTGTGTACAGCGTTTTGTTCTAATTTTCTAAGGTTTTGAGAACTGGAGAAAACCTCAGCTTCTCCAGTTCTCAAAACCTTTTTTAGCAATATACTTTTTTTTAATAAGCGATATTCGCAGAATCTGTAAAACAGAAACATAATATTAATGTTTTATCTCTGTGTATTTTCTCTAGTTTCCAATACTATTACTGGGTGAGAACAAGGGCAGTTTAGTTAAAATTAAATTTAATTAAAAATTTACATTGATTTAAAAGAATAAATAAATGGTGCTGGGAAAATTGGACAGGTACATGCAGAAAAATGAAACTAGACCACCTTCTGGAATCACACAAAAGAATAAATTCAAAATGGATTAAAGACTTAAATGTTTAACCTGAAACCATAAAAATTGGAGAGAAAACAAAGGCAGCAGAATCTTGGACATTGCTTGTAACAGCAGTATTTTATATATCTCCCCAAGCAAGGGGAACAGCAAAAGTAAACAGTTGGGACTAAATCAAACTACAGTGTTTTGCACAGACATTGCACAGCAAAGGAAAACATCAACAAAATAAAAAGAAAACCCACAGAATGGGAGGACATATTAACTGATGCATTTGTAAGGGGTAATATCCAAAGTTTATAAAGAACTTATAAAAAGTCAACACCAAAAAAAATCAACCCAATTAAAAAATGGGCAAAGGACCTGAATAGAACTTCTCCAAGGAGGATATTCAGATGACCATTAGACATATGAAAAGATGCTCAACATCAATCATCAGAGAGATACAAAGTAAAACCACAATGAGATATTACCTAACACCAGTTACAGTGGCTATTATCAATAAATCAACAAAAAACAAGTGATGGAGAGGATATGGAGAAAGGGAACCCATTTGTACTGCTGTAGGGAATGCAGATTGGTGCTGCCACTATGGAAATCAGTATGGTGATACCTCAAAAAATTAAAAGTAAATCTCTGCCTTTTGACACAGCAGTTCCACATCTGGGAATATATACAGTGTAACCCAAAACACTGATTCGAAAGAACATAAGCGCCTCTGTGGTCATGGCAGTGTTATTTACAATCACCAAGATATGGAAGCAGCCGAAGTATCCATCAGTAGATGAGTTGGTAAAACAACTATGGGACATTTATACAATGGAATACTACTTGGCCATAAAAAGAAGATAATTTTACCCTTCAGAACAGTATGTATGGACCTGGAGAACATTATGCTAAGTGAAATAAGCCAGTCAGAGAAAGACAAATACCATATGATTTCACTCATGTGTGGATCCTTATGAACAAACTAAGCTAAACAAGGAAAATAGAGACAGACTCATAGAGAAGAGAGAGGAGGATGACAGCTAAGTTCAGGGGGAGCTTAAAAGGTTGAGAGATTGGACAGAAAGGAAAAAAGACTCATCGACATGGACTACAGTTTGTTGATTTTGGGGGCAGGAGGGTATAGGAGGACTAAATGGTAGTGGAAAAATAAAATAAAAAATTAAATAACATTAAGAAATACAAATGTCAGTCCAAAAGTGTACACATGCATGTAGTCAAAAAGAATATACAGTGAAACCTTATCAGTAATTATTTTTTGGAGATAATGTGTCATGACTTTTTCTTTGTAGTATGATTTTTCTACTCTTAATTTGCATATTTCATGGCATTTTTTAAAGAAAATGAAAATTTAATATGATGAGAGCAACCCTGTTAGAAAAAAAGACAGAAAAATAAGTGGAATAGAATGCAAACCTGGAAATAGATCTATGTATATGAAAATGAAAAATACAATAATTAGAGGAAACATTATACAAGGGGGAAGGGTAGACTATAAATGTGGGGATGGTTACGCACATGGAAGCTGAGTTTAATCATAAGAAAATCCAAGACACACCCTAATGGAGGGATAATTTACAACATAATTGGCTTGTTACTACCAAAAGTGTCAAGCGGTGAAGTCAAAAGAAAGACTAAGAAACTTAGACTGAAGGAGACTAAAGAGACCACTAAATACAATGTGTGATATTGAACTGGATCTTTTTATTGTACATTATTGAGATAATTGGTGAAACTTAAGTGGGGAGTGAGTTACATAGATGTGATGTGTCAGTGGGAATTTCTTGTTTTTCTTGGTTGTACTTTGGTCTGTAGGACAATGTTTATGCTTGTAGCAGAGTCATAGAAGTATTTGAGGATGATGTGGTATCAGATTGGCAACTCTGGTCTCAAATGGTTCAGATCAAAAAGAGTTCTTTTTACCTTTTCTATATGTTTAGGTTGTTAAAAATTGTACATAAAATTTAAATGTCATCAAAGTAAAATGAAAAATCTAGCCATAATCTGGGAGAAAATATACCACTACATATATCTGAAAAATGACTAGTACCTAGAATATATGAAGAACTCCTACAATCTCTGCCTTTTAATTGGAATGTTTATTAGACTGTTACTTTTTAATGTAATTATTGGTATGAATGTTTATGTCTGTCTTGTCTTTTCTGTTTGTCGCATTTGTTCTCTGATCCGTTTTTCCTTTTCACGTTTTTCAGATTAATCGAATATTTTTATGAGTAAAAATAATTTTATTGAGCCTATTGGAAATGGGCTTTTAATTATATATTTCTTGTAACTATAACTCCAGAAGAATTAAAATGTCTGTAAGAATTTGGGAACACACTAAGATAATTAACTGCTGTCTGAAAAAGAGATTACATGGATGGCAATTGTTTTTTAACTTGATTAATAAAAGGAAAATGTCAAACTACCTTAAATTGTTTGCGTTAATTAGATATAAGTTGTAAAATTGAGATAAATAATTAGTGAAGATGAAGGATTCTCTTTTTAGTACAGTCATACCCTGGTACTAGTCAGCTTTGGAACTCATCAAACCCTGAGCTCGTCACATTTTGATAAGAAAAAATATTTTCAGCACTGGGCACTTGCTTGGGACTCACCACACTTACTAGACCTTACGTGAGTCACGGAGCCACCCAATAAGAGAAAATGCTTCATCATTCAGTACACATTGGTTTCGGTAGTCGGTAGTTGTCATAGTAACAGGTGTGGAGGTACCGTTGCAATTACTTTTTAAGCACTTGGTAAATATCTGTTCTCTGCATGTAGATGTCGGGAGACAACGTTCACCTGAGGGGTATATGCCACACAACATTTATAACTGATTTTTTTTCAAAAACAGAAATTACCTTTATATTAAATGTCTAGCCTTTATTAAATTCATCTATTTTTTGTTTTAAAATATTCACTTTCTTTTTTTTCTACTGTAGCTTGAAATTTTGACAAACTTGGCAAATGAAGCCAACATATCAACTCTTCTTCGAGAATTTCAGGTTTGTGTATAGTGCTAATTATACAATAACTTCTAACACATCTGTTTAAAGTTAAATGTTCGTCTTTCTGAACTTTGAAATATATAACTGTGTAAATAAAAAAGTCATTTGGGACAAGATTGACAACTAAGACATTCTCTGGTTTGATTCTGGTCAGGGTTGCAGGCCAGGTCACTGCTTGCGAGAGGCAATGAAAGGTGTTTCTCTTTTCCCTTTTTTCCTCTCTCCCTACAAATAAATAAATAAAATCATTAAAAAAAGGCATAAACATTGGATACAAATTTAAATTTTAAGGGTAATGGAATAGTAGTCCCTTTCATGGTTTCACAGAATTTGAAAGACAGCTGACCTCTTGTTTGAAATTAACTTACTGTAAGGATGCAGTCTCTTCGTTCTGTCATATTTGGTAGTCCTTTGGACTCATGAAGGTGATTGCTTATCTGATTGACCACTGTTTCAGAAATTCATTGTCCTCATACCTTCATGTATTCCTTTAAAAAAAAAGAGTGGTTTAAAATTGCCCCTGTTGTTTTTTAAATTGTTTTTGTTTTGTTGTAATTTCTAAACCATATATGCTGATGGATGAGATGCTTTCCAGCTATATACATTCCCAAAATGTTTTTTAAAAATGACCTCATGGATGTTATACCCTTTCTGATCAAAGAGTGAGCCCCGAAGACTTAGTGGGGGAGCACAGCAGTAGAAAAACTCATATTAATGAGTTTTATGATTCATCAGCAGTTATCTGAACAGAAGTCAACAAAAAATTTCTTAACATGCTACATACTAATCACAGTTTTTCTCAATTCCTAGCTTTTGAAGATCTAATTTATTTTGTTTCTGTAATCTTTTAATATACCTATATTAAATTTTTGTAGCTATGTAGATGTATTCATTTTTGATGATATGATCTTATCTTTTAATAGGAATAATAGAATATTATACCATGTCCATGATTTATAATTTCATAACTGGATTACTAGACTTTCATGCGGTATTATTTTTCTAGTAAAATTTCTTGTAAAATTAGAATGTCTTGGATACTCACTCACCTTATATTTACTCACCTTATATTTACTTGTGATACAGTATCACAAGTTCTCATCCAGTAATTTGTAGCTATAGAACATTGCTTGAATTTATCCTTCACTTTATTCGTTTTTAAGTTTTTAAAGTTTTTGTCTTTGTGACAAAAACAATTTTCCTCTTTCCTGTTTTCATGTGTAACCTACTTCTGCTGTCCATTTTTTGCTATGTAAAGTTTACTGAGGTTGTAGGGAGTGAGTCTCAGGTAATTCGATGGCATTGTTAGTTGTTAAGAGGTGACACACTGGACCTGTTTCAGAACGTTGGTGGGGTCTGGTCAATTCATTTAATATCAGATTTTTAATAATATCTATTATGTAGTCAAGATTTTTAATATATATCTTCAGGTATTCATTTTTAATTTTTATACCATATATGTGTTCATAGAGGTATTTACTTATATATAATTTCTTGAGTAAAATAGATAATTTTTCTAAAGACTCTTTTTGGTTGAGGAAATTAGGTAATCAGCTGGGAAATAGTTTTTAAATACAATTGATCTTCCCTAAGTAGAACTAAGAGAGTTTAATTTGTTTAATTTATTTCTTCAACGTTTAATCATGTTCGTGCTACCATTTTCACTAAATTTGTAAGTTTTTAGATATTTTTAGATTTTTCTCCTCCATTTGTCATTTAAGCACCTTTTAAATGTATTACTCTATTTTGCGTGTTAAGTAAACAGCATGTACTTCTCATTTGAGGTTGGGAATCATTCTGTAGAAGTTTTAGTTGCAAATTGGATTTTAAATTTCATTACATATTATGTATATAAATGTATATGTTAAATGCGTATTCATTTCTGTAAACAATAAAAGCTGAATTTTTTTTGAAAGTTTAGGTGAAATTATTTAGGGTTATAAATTCTGTGAAGATGTTTTAACTTCCTATTGTTAAATAATCTAAATATGTATTTTTAAGTTTGTATAAATATGTAGTTTACAATGTATTTTTAAAAAATTCTTTTAAAGAAAATCAGTTTTTTAAAGTGTTTATTGTAAACTGAGTATTTATAAAGTCCATTGAAATGCTCTTCGCTGTAGCTATTGTGATTTTACTGCCATTCAGATCCCATTTTAAAAGTAAAATGTTTGTCAGTATCATGTTGGTTTTTTTCTTCCTCCTTTCCCAATTTTTAGATTTATTGTCTCTGAAGAAGCAAACCTTTTTCTATAGATTCACAGATGCTGCTGGTTAAATGAACTGAAACCTCCAAAGAGAGGGTTCTTGTATCTTTCAGCCGTGCACTTAAACTAATTGCTATCTTTGGGTAACTGCTCCCCACTATCTGTTTTGGAGTCACAAGCCACTGTGGCCACAAGTGAATGAAGTTGGCTTGAAAATGTACCCCTTTTGTAGGTACATTCTGTAAGTAGAATGAAACTAAATTAAGCCAAGTCATCAGTCAGATCTCCTTTTGTACATATAGATGAAATTACATATGCTAGAATTCTTATGTTGAAAAACTTAATGTAATAGACGTTTTTTGTTCACTTGATAGTACCAATGTATAAATTAATTGTAATAACATTTTTTAGACCTATGTGAAAAGCCAGGATAAACAGTTTGCAGCAGCCACTATTCAGACTATAGGCAGATGTGCAACAAACATCTTAGAAGTCACTGACACGTGTCTCAATGGCCTGGTGTGTCTGCTGTCCAACAAAGATGGTAAGTTGACACTTTCATTTCATTTTTCAAGTAATTTGTCATTTCAGTATTCTTGGTATTATTTGCAAATTGTAGCATTTGTTAACATGCATTTTATTTTTTCCTGTTTGTCAGTAGTGTGGTCATGATGAGTGGCATTTTGTCTTTGAAACCACACACACACACACACACGCACACAGTTGTTTGTTGTTGTTTTTGTAAATTGGGTAATTAACTTTTAAACAATACTGTTACTGCCTAAGCAGAACTAAGAAAGTGTAGTTTATTTATTCACAATTTAATCAACTTTGTTGTACCCTTTCTCAAAGGTTTTATTTTGCTTTTCAATGGCATGTAAGTCATGTATAATATTGGTTCTCCTGCAGAGGGTGCTAAAAGCAGGCAAATGACTCTATTACCATAGAGAAGTTGCTAGATCAAAAAAATATGTTGAATGTGTTACTGTCAAAGGTTTTTTTTTTCCCCAGAAATCCACCTAATAATTTTATATTCAAGATTAGCTAGAAGTCATCACTTTGGAATAGCTTCATGTTTTTAAGCCAACACTATCTAAACATTTTGTAAAACTGGCTAGGTAAAATATGTAATCTAAATTTCATACTGGTCTCTGGTGAAATGTCAGTTATTTCTGTAGTATGGTTTTAGAATAAATGAGGTCATTTGGAGAAAGAAAAATGAGTCAACTGTCACTTTTAAAATTATTTAGGGGACTTTCATTATAATTGCATATTTGATTAAAACAAGATTCTTTTTAAGAAAAGCGTGGAATTCTAAATTATGTCATATCTAGACATAATTCAGATAGCAACTATAAGTTTAAACATAACAGAATTGATTGTTTTTATATTTTATTTGAAAATAACTTTACAATAGCTTTTTTATCCCTAATTATCTTTTCCCACATGAAGATCTCTTTAGAACACTGTAACATTGTTATAAGTACTTCTGATAAAAAATAATTGAAACAAAATTTATCTACAAATAAGAATATTTTCTATTATGAGCATAAAATTATAATCTTTTACCTATAAACTCAAGGTGTTCTATGGTTAGAACATTTTTCTACATGTAGTATTAAAATTCTAAATAATTGTGACAATAAATTATTTGGGATATAGACTTTTTAAAAATTTAGCTGTGGAAGGTAATTAGAGGAGATAGAATGTTAAACATATACATTTATTTATTTCTACTTTTAGTAACAACCTTTTAATCTATTTCTACATCACACCTTAAAATATGAGTTTAAAACATATTTTTATTATTTATATTTTTAATAATGACTTTGTACTTGATCAAATAAGACATATTCCTTGCGAAAATATTTAAAATTACAGATTTTAAACACTGGCTTACCACAGTAATTGTTCTTTTAAAATTTAGTTGCATACAAAAAGCAGCAGTAATTAGCACACTAATGCGTTCTTTTTAAATACAAAGTACTGTATATTCAAAGTTCCTCAATTTTATATTTTGACCCTTTTTTCTCCTGTGAAATATTCAAGCTGTGGATTTTAAAGTGTTTTTTTTCTCAAAACGTATTTGAAAGCATAATTTTCTAAAAATAATGAATTGACTTTGATTTAAAAGATAAATATTCTACCATGTAACACTTTAAGGAAAGAAAAAGATTTTATTTATTGATTTTTAGACAGAGGGGAAAGGTGGGAGAAAAACACAGATTTGTTGCCCAACCAGGGGCCTAGCCCGCAACCCAGGCATGTGCCCTGACTGGGAATGGAACCCATGACCACAGGCAGATGCTTAATTTAGTGAACCACAGCAGCCAGGGCATACTCTGTAGCACTGTTAAAGAAAGAATAGATTATTTTATAATTAAATAATGGGAGACCAATGTAATTTATAATAACTCTTAAAAGCGGGAAAATTTAATAATTTAAACTCTGATGTGTTAATGTTTAGGCTTTTGTTTTTAGTAAATAAAAACTTTCTTTATAACCTTGGATTTTTTTCTGCAGTTTTAGTATTAAGCAACTTAAATTGTACTATTTACTTCTGGTTGCATAATCATTATTAGCCCATAAAACTTGTTTCTTTAACTCTTTATCATATGTGCTTCACTTCTGTAGTTTGGAAATGTGGCTCAATAAAAGTGAGCATAAAACAAGTAAGAACATTTTTATTAAATCATTAAAGAAAGTAATAATATTTCTAACTTCAAAATGGCCAGTGCAAACAGCAGAGTCCCGTTCTCTTTCCTGCTTTTGAAACAAATGCTGTTGAAGGAGGCCTCAGTTCCTTAAATCTGTTATCATGCTAAGTGAAATAAGCCAGTCAGAGAAAGACAAGTGCCATATGATCTCACTTATGTGTGGAATGTAATGAGCAAAATAAAGTGAGGAACAAAATAGAAACGGAGGCACGGATACATGGAACAGACTGACAGTTTCAGAAGGGAGAGGAATTGTGGGACTGGATGAAACAAGGGGGAAGGGATTAAGCAAAAAAAAAAATCTATATAGAGTAGGATAATAATAGACTGTGTTATGCTGAGTGAAATGAGCTAGTCTCAGAAAGAAAAATACCCTAAGATTTCACTTGTATGGAGTATTAAAATAGTAAAATTCATAAAATCCCAGAGAAAGTTATTTGCCAAGGGCTGGGGGAAAGGAATATGAGGAGTTAATTAATCAGCTGGCATAAAGTTTCAGTTAAACTAGAAGAATTAACTCTGGAGATCACCCATACAACATTGTACCTATAGTCACCAATAATGTATTTTACACTTAAAAATTCGTTAACAGGGTAGATATCGTGTTAAGTGTTCTTATTATAAGAAAAGAAAATAAAAAATATAGTAAATATACTTCTTAGAGTGAGGACCACTAAGTTCTGCAGAGGATGAGGGGAAAGGTAAGAGAGGTCAAGAACATAGGATCATTTTGTGCTTCTGGTTGAGTACTACCAAAGTGCTGAGGTCTTTGAAAACCAGGAGGTGGTATAAGGAAAAAGTAGGCTGAAATAATCTGGAGGAATGAGAGGCACCTGGGGAAGGCAGAATAATGCTCTACTTGCAAAGATGTTCAGGTCCTAATGTCCAGAACATGTGCATATGTGACCTTATATGGCAGAAGGGATTTAGCACATGTGATTAAGATTCTTAAAATGAGGTTGTTATTCAGTGTACCCAGTGTAATTCAAAGTATCTTTTTTAAGGGAAGGAGGGAGGCCAAGAAAGCCAGATGTCGGAAGCAGAGGTTGAAGTGATGGCACTACTGGCAGGGGGACTTAAGTCCAGGAACACTGACAACCTTTAGAAGCTGGAAAACGCAATGGAATTTCCCTTGAACCACTATAGAGAACTTAATCCCATTGATGCTTTGATTTTAGCCCATGAAACTCATGTTAACTTTTGGCTCCAGAATTGTGAGATGATAAATGTGCATTGTTGTAAGCCACTAAATTCCTGGAAATCTGTAACAGCAACAATGGGGAACTGATATAGCACCAAAAAATAAATAATGCCAAATAAATGTTTCCACTATAGCCAGTCTTGCCTCTGCATGTAGATAATTAAAATTATACTTTTTTTTCTTATTTAGGCTACCTTTAAAATACTGTAATTTAAAATTAAAAATGTTATACTGTGGATTCTTTAAATCACAGTTAGATTATATTTTACTCTGCGTACTTATATAACAATTTAATGTTGTCTATTGGAGTGTAAGTTTGATGAGGGCAGGGTCTATCACTCAACCATACTAAAGGATGAAATCTTACTGTTCATAACAACATGGGGGACTTCCGCCAAGATGGAGGTGAAGGTGGAAGCACTGCACCTTCTCACACAACTAAGTTTAAAAACAACAAAGTTTTAGCAACAAAAACACGGCCAAACCACAGATAATTGAACTACACAGAAGTCTGATAACAACGAACCCTTCAGCCAAACTGGTAAGAGGGGCAGAGCCAGCAGCAGAGCGGGGTCGGGCAGGAAAAGAGCCACCGGACCGACCCGGGCGCTCAACCTAGGTGCCCCGGCAGCCGTAGGCGGATCCCAGGTGTGGAGAAGTGGGCGGACCCACTGAGGGTGCAAGGCGGTGGACTCACTGAGGGCTGACGACAGTCACACATTCAAACGCAGATAAACCAGTGCAGGCCCCAGTGGCGGGAAGCTGCAGAGGGGACCGCCATTGTCCCTCTCTGACCCAGCCCCATATACAGCCTCACAAACCAGCGACCTGGGTGGCCCCGCCTTGGGGAACACTTAAGGCTCCACTCCTCATACATAATAGGCATGAACAGATCAAAACATGGCTCGAGAACAACTCAGAGCCCCAGAGCCAATAAATCTAAGCAATGAAGAAATAGCCAAACTTTCAGATGCACAGTTCAAAACACTGGTGATCAGGATGCTCACAGAACTGGTTGATTATAGTCGCAAATTAGAGGAACACATGAAGGCTAAACTAATTGAAATGAATGGAAATGCACAGGAAATCAATAGTAATGGAAAGAAAACTGGGACTCAAATCAAAGGAGTGGACCAGAAGGAAGAAAAAAGTGACCAAACAGAAAAGGATGGAGAAACAAGAATTCAGAAAAATGAGGAGAGGCTTAGGAATCTCCAGGACATCTTTAAACATTCCAACATCTGAATTATAGGAGTACCAGAAGGGGAAGAGGAACAGCCACAAGTAGAAACCTTATTTGAACAAATAATAAAGGAGAATTTCCCCAATCTGGCAAAGGAAATAGACTTCCAGGAAATCCAGGAAGCTCAGACAGTCCCAAAGAAGTTGGACCCAAGAAGGAACACACCAAGGCACATCATCATTACATTAGCCAAGATTAAAATGAAGGAGAGAATCCTAGAAGCAGCAAGAGATAAGGGGACAGTCACCTACAAAGGAGTTCCCATCAGACTGTCAGCAGATTTCTCAAAAGAGAACTTATAGTTTCTTGACTACAAGAAGGGGCTGGAAAGAAGTATTCCAAGTCATGAAATCCAAAGACCTACATCCAAGATTGCTCTATCCAGCAAAGCTTTCATTTAGAATGGAAGGACAGATAAAGTGCTTCTCAGATAAGATCAGATTCAAGGAGTTCATCATCACCAAGCCCTTATTATATGAAATGTTAAAGGGACTTACCTAAGAAAAAGAAGATAAAAAAGATGAACAGCGAAAGGACAGCAAACTCACAGTTATTAACAACCACACCTAAAACAAAAGCAAACTAAGAGGACAGCTAGATCAGGAGCAGAACCATAGAAATGGAGATCACATGAAGGGTTAGCAACAGGGAAGTGGGAGAAGGAGAAGGGGGGAGAAGGTACAGAAAATAAGTAGCATAGACAGTAGGTAGAAAATAGATAGGGGGAAGAGCAAGAATAGTATGGGAAATATAAAATCTAAAGAACTTGAGACATGTGGTCATAAACTAAAGGGGGGAATGGTGGAGGAGGGGTGTGGAGGGTAGAGGTGAATGAAGGGGGGAAATAGAACTGTAATGGCATAATCAATAAAATATATTTTAAAAAAACAACATGGGTGGAGAGGTATTGTGCCAAGTGAAATAAGTCAGACAGAAAAGACAAATACAATATGATTTCACTTACGTGTGAAATCTAGAAGTAATAAATGAACAAATAAAACAGAAATAAACTCATAGACACAGAGAAGAAATTGAGGGTTTCCAGATGGGAAGGCAGTTGGGGAAAGAGTGAAAAAGGTGCAAGGGATTAAAAAACACAAATTGGATTTATAAAAATAGGCACAGAGATGTAAAGTGCAGCATAGGGAATATTGCAGTAACTATGCATTAAAGTCAGATGGGTCCTAGACTTACCAGGGTGGCCACTTTGTAAGGTACATAAGTGTCTAATCACTGTATCGTACACCGTGAACCACTATGATGTTGTGTGTCAAATCTAATTGAAAAATAGAATAAAATGATGACAATAAGGTACCTACCATATATTAACTGTGAGAAAAAAAGAAATATATAATTTTGCAAGCTAAAACATTATATAGATAATCATTTCTAACTCCCATAAAGAGGTGTATAGTTTCAAATATGTATGTTTAATGATTACAATGGTAAAAATTTTGCTTATATTCTTAAAGGGAGCTAGATAAAATATATTCAGATGAAAAGAGTGACAGAACACAGTCAAGGTACATCCAGTATAATATTAAAATAAACCTTTTTGGTACATGCCAGGAAAATCTCTATTATCTATGAGTCCCTAGTAATAAAAATTGCCAAAATAATAAGTAAAGGCAATGTTGATTTATTTTTGGGGGGCATCGGTAGCATTTATCATCATTTATATAAGATTCATTCTATAAGGTCAGGTGCTCTGGCTAGTTATATTACATTTCTATACTGGTGCCACCAGAAACATAACTTGGACCAATGATTAGCCACTTCATAGTAACAACTCAATCTCAGAATCCCAATTTAAAGATCTGCATTTTGGAACCACTCCTAGTACTGATTACTGTATTAGTTAAGGTACTAGCAAGAAACAGATTGACATATTTGAAAGGGACAATTGAAGAGACTTTAACAAAGGAACTAAATTTAGAAGGTATGGGCAGAATGGAGGGAAACCAACGAGGTATGATGTAGCACACTGAAGCTAACAGGCTAGGAGCAGTGGGAAGCCAAATCTAGAGTTGAAGGGAATGGGTGTGAGGAAGAGCGGGAGCAGTTACCAGACTCTGCAGGACGGAGCCAGTCGCAGGAGCTTTTGAAACCTTCAGTAGAACTGTGCAAGCACTGCCAAGGAGGCCTGCGTGAAGAGATTCAGGATAGTAAATATTCTCTCCTGCCACTTTGTCTCCTGCTAGTGCTTCCTGTTGGCCAAACATAGCTGGAAGCCAGGGTAAGGAAGTCTGTTGCCTCTAAGGACTCAGTGTTGGCCATAAAAGGCAGAGCGGATTCACACTGCCAATGGAGACAGTCTAGCTCATGGCCCCACTCGTCTGGGCTCTGTAGTCCAGGCTATTTCAGTAGCAACACCTTTTCTACTTCTACTGATCCTTCCTACTCACTTTACCAGACATATCACTTAAGGATTTTTTTTTTTAGTTTGCTGTTTTCTCTAGAATTGAAAAAAATGTTATTTAGATTTTAGGAAATCTATTACCACTATATAATTAGTAGGAATCAAAGAACAGTATTTGAGAGCAATAGTTAAAAGCCAAGGACACTTGAACATTATGGTGATTACATAATCTAATTTCACTTTGTTTTCGACTTAAAGAAGCACACATTAGAAAGGGGATATCCTAAGCCAGAAGACAGTAACAGGTGTTAGAAATTAAACTATACTCTTCTACTTAAAATGGATGTTCACACAAAAATTTTTGAGGTACATTCATGATAGTAGTTTCTACCTAGTCATTTAAGACATATAGAACACTTTGCTAATTTAAATTTATATTTTACCAAGCATAATACATTTGATGATAACATTTGAATTGAATCACACACCTTTAATATGAATAATCTCTTTTTCAGAAATAGTTGTGGCTGAAAGCGTGGTTGTTATTAAGAAATTACTGCAGATGCAACCTGCACATCATGGTGAGATTATTAAACATATGGCCAAACTCTTGGACAGCATCACTGTGAGTACCAGTTAAGAGATCTTTGCTGAATTGTTTTGAATTTTACTCAGTAAATTACAGTTTTATTCAAATAAATGGGTATCCTAAAGTGTAATCGTTAAGAGAACTAAGCTAACTGCATGAGTTCAAATCCTGATTCTAAGACATCACGCTGTCGTGGAAGGAAATTACAAATCTGAAAAGGGGAAGGATTCAGTGAGTAATACTTCAGCGTTGGATTAGAATTGATCAGTGTGAACTGCATGGGTTTTTATATAGCTGTCTAGATGTCTGTGAATGTAGACATGGGGTGCCTACACATATTAGTATATATACATGGGAATGTGTTTATGACTGTGCAAACATCTGTGTCCCAAGGCCAGCCTTTGGGAAGGCCTATGTGGAATAATACCCCAGTACCAGTGAGCACACCTAGTGCCCAGGTCTTGTTTTGTTTTGACATATAATTTCATACTATAAAACTTACCTTTTTAAAGTATATAATTCATTGGTTTGGTTATACTCATAAGGTTGTGCAACCATTCCCACTGTGTAATTGCAGAACATTTTCATCATCCCCGAAGAGTATTTCACACCTCGAACTTCTACTCTTCTCTTTGCTCTAGTCCTTCACAACCATCAGTCTACTTTCTGTCTCTACAGATTTCTTATTCTGGACAATTTATGTAAGTGTAATCAGGCAGTTGGTTGGCTTTTGTGCCTGGCTTCTTTCATTTAGCATGATTTTCATTTAGCAAGGTTCATGAAAATATAGAATGTAGTACTGCGTCCATGTTTATAAATTAAAATCTTTATGCTTCACATCCGTACACTTGTGGTAGTAGAAGAACCTGTATTGTAAGTATTGCATTAGTTAATTTGTAAAGCTCTTAGAACATTGCCTGGGCCCTGGCTGGTGTGGCTCGGTGGATTGACCGCAGGCTTTGAACCAACGGGTCGTCGGTTTGATTCCCAGTCAGGGCACATGCCTGGGTTGTGAGCCAGGTCCCCAGTAGGGGATGCATAAGAGGCAACCACACATTGATTTAAACAAAACAAAAAGAACATTGCCTGGTACATAGTAGTATTGCATGTTAGCTGTTATTAATATCTATATCCTATTTCATTCTTTTCTTCCCTTTAAAACTAAAGCTTTTAAATAATTATCTCAATTTTATTTTCTTACTTGACATTCCTGAACACATCACAGTCTGATTTTGATTTCCACTTTTTCCAAGGTCACTGTCTCCCTCTTACTAAATCCTGTGGATAATTCGCTCTCCTATCTTTCTTGACCTTTTGTTAACATTCGATTTCACTGACCACTTCTTCCCTTTTGAAACATTCTATGGCTTTTTGTCTGGTTTTTCCTTCAAACTCTTCTCCATTGTGTTTGCCTTCTGCTTTGCCTGTTCCTTGAATATTAAAGTTTGACAGTTAATTCTGCATAACTGAAAGAGCTGTATTTTAGGAGAGGAGTATATCGTTTCCCTCTTTAAAGACTGGGTAATCTATACTGTTAGCCTGTTCAGAGGGATGATATTTCTATAGCTGGAGGTAATGGATGGCAAAGTTTGGGGCCTACCAGTCAGAGCCGATTTTTAATGTCTCTGATGGTGAAATTTCCTTCCCCTCAGGGTGTTATTAAAGCTTTCAGAGTGGTTATACATTTATCTTAAAGCTGAGAATAAGACTCACAGGAGTCACTTACCATCTGAGCTTCTACCACATCTCTCGCCAGAGAATTCCTTTGTCTTCATGTCTCCTCCTAGTGATTAATTATCAAAGTCAGGGCTTCTCATAAAGATTGTATATGAGATGTAGGACTTAAGAGTAGATTTGAAAACTGGATGCCTTAGGTTCAAATTTAGTCTCCACATTTTACTAGCTTTGTAAATTTAAGCAAGTTATTTGACTTTTATGCTCCAATTTTTTCATCTGTAAAATGGGAACAGTAGCACTAATAACTTTACAGACCTGCTGTGAAGAATATATGAGTCAACATATGTGAAACACTTAGTGCTTAGTGTAAGGTGTCGGGTGACTTTAGTGTAGTTCTCTCATATAAGACATACCTAGGAGATTTTAGGAAGATGTAGACTTAAGTAGGGACAGAGAAATTAAATAATAGACTTAATTAGTAAATATAGCTAAAAGCTTATATCTCTTGAACAGATTATACCCATTTTTATGGGTATATCCCTAGAATATTATACTTGGACATAAGTAAACTTAAAAGATTTAAGTTTTAATCAGAGTTAAATAATTTAAGAGCATACCAGACCTGTACTGAAGAAAATACACTTTCAGAGCAAAGAGAAAGTTTAGAGAAAAAATGCAAGCTCTCCACAAAACACAGAAAATGAGAACACTTTATTCCAAAATGTGTGGGATGTGGCTGTAACTGCCACCATTTTAAAAATAAGGAGACCAGACATTTTTTTAAAAAATTGTATCTGACCCGAGGAGTTTAAAAATGAGCAGTGAGTCAAAGCATAAAACCTAAGTGGGATCAAAGTTAATTTTGTAAAATGGAATATCAAAAAAAGGTAGTTGAAATTGATAAATATATCTTAAATCTGGTCCTTTGGAAAGATAATAAAATAGTAAGCCCTTCCTGATTCTTATAAGGTAAAGAGAGAAAACAAAATAGACAAAATTGGAATGTGATATAGGAGAGATTAAAATAATTACAAGAAAACTATGTTATTCTATAGCAAAAGCTTGAACTTTTGGAAAATGAAAAGGTAATGAGTGGTTACTATTAACATTCTTTGAGAAAGCTGAAGAGCTTGAAGTGAGACAAGGCAAGACAGTTTGTGATGCAGAACCCTAAAAATGGTTAGGGATTGGAGGCACAAGTTACTCTGCAAGAAGGTGAGGAGGAAAGTAGCAGACAAAAGCTTCACAATCAGGAGAGGGGGGCAATTGAATCCCCAGAGTCTCTGATCCAAACAGTCCAGAGTTATTCACCTATGAGCACAGCCATCTAGAAAAGAAAGCAGGGCTTTATTAATCTCATCAGGTATCTGATGACTCTTAAATGTGGGCAAGTGCTTCTAAAATGGGAGGCATAACCTGAGAGCCTTAAGTAAGAGCTCTTTATTCCTGAATCCCTGCTTATTTCATACTGAATCCAAGGAGCGTATCTTAAACCACTGTGACATTAGAGCCAAGCTGGCCAGTGACAGAGGACCAGAGGGACAGTATTGAGCATGTTTTTAGTCAGTGCCTAAGCCAGAATCTTGGGCTCATCTACCTTCAGAGGGAGGAGGGGGAATAGAAGTGATAGCCAGACCTCTTTTCACCTTGGCCACCTTATTTATTCATAAAAAAACAGATGAAAGGAAGTGGGAAAGTGCCCCATCAGGTGTGGGTGCTGGAGTGGCAAGAGGAGGAGCTAGACCCGCCCTGAGAGCGCTGGCCTCCGGGAAGCTGCAGGGGGCTGTAAGGGAGCCACTGCACAAGGTGGCAGGAGAACAGACAAGGAGTAGGACTTCATTTGGTTAATGAGTAAGTAGGCCCCCTGAGGTGATGTTTTTGACTCCAGGATATACACGCCCTATCTGGGAGCAGGAACTGGTCTTCTTGCTTTACTGATTCGTACTTTTGCTAGTATGGTGCACTGTTTTTGTCTGTCTAGTGGCTGTGGTGATCCCTGCATGCAGACTTAGAGTTCTAGTCCCATTTCCACCGCTGACAAGCTATGAGATGTTGGGCAAATTTTTTAACCCCTTTGTGCCCTCCTGTGTCATATCCACTGGGGATAATGGTAGAGCCTACTTCCTAAGGCTTTTGTGATAACTGACTGAGATGAAATCAATAAAGTACCTAAAAACGGCACCAGGCATATGGTAAGAGCACAATACATATTAGCCATGTCATTTTTTTAAAAAATGGGAACATAGATTTTATTGTATTCAAGACTTTTCATTTTATTTGTTATTTAGTAAGTAGATAGTTGAAAATATTAAAACTAAAATTTAAATTAATTCTACTTTTAAAGTTTATTTAAATTGAATAGATTTATGTCAGCAGTACAGCCAGCTTATGTGTTCTGATTGTGAGTATATCATCCTTTGGAGTATCTTTCATTTGTAGTAAATACTGCTTTTGGAGCAAAGTTCTTCCAGAATAAAATGCATATTACCAGAAGATTGTTTTAACAGGGTTTCACATAATGTTTAATGGGACAGACAAAGATTTCATGTGATAGAAGAACAGTTGAAAGACGTTATTCTGTACTCAGTATCACAATATTGAGTAATATTGAATAGCACATTCTGTATTCCTTGCTCAGGTGCCTCACCGAACGCCTGCAAGTTGACTGCACTTGCTCTTTGACCCCAGTTTAATTCAGTCTTGTTTTAATGCATATTGAGTCCAGATACAGAATGTTGGATCATTTGTTGTTGTATGCAGTTTATTTGGAGGTCTACTCATTTTGCCTTTGACAAATTTAAATAAATAAAATTGATGTTTTTTGCAGGATTTACTTTACACTGTTGCACTGTGCAGTGAGCTGGTGTTGAAACACAGTAGCTTTTAAATTGAACTGCTTACAGAGTGATCTGTAAATTCTTTCTAGATGTCTTTCTTAACTGCTGTGGTCAACTAGGAATCATTATTTGTTTTTGCAGCCAAGTTAATGGGTTAAAATGGAAGTAGAAACTGCCTTCTGGTAGAAGGTTTAAAAAATGCACTTAACTACTTACTCATGGATTTAGAATAAAAAATCAGGCAAATTCATTTACAATCCAATTTGTCCTTGAAAATTTTGAAAACCAGAGGTTCATAGTCAAAGTATTATTATATCATCTGCATACATGTGTGCATTAGTATGGCTTTTAGTTCAGTGCTTCTCTATATCCTGTGGTCAAAAAGACCATGGACAAAACATGGAGAGTTTTCTTGTTTGCTCTTTTGTCACTTGCTTCAAATCCTTGAATGTAATGGCTATGGATTCACACTATTGGTGGTACACTAATGAGAGTCTTAAAACTTTAGTTGGAAAGGGAGGGCAGAAATCAGAAAGTCTTAGGAATCTATTTTCCTCCAAATGCACGAAAACATTGGGTTTGTCAGTTGTGTAAGCCTTTTAACAAAATGCCATCACTGAAAATTTTGTATAAATGTATTTACATTGATATTATTTCATGTCATGGAGAAGTTTTCTAAGTTTTCAAAATATTTTCTTGATTTTATTACCTCTGAATATTATCCTGCTCTCCAACACCACCACTACCTTGACATTTTCATTGTGAGCATTAGAATGTATTGATTTTTAAATTTTTCAATGAGTTGTGTTTTAAATGTATGTATTACAAGTCTTTAGTGTTTATTTTAACTTTAGTATATTAATAAATAGGAATAGAAACAATTTCATAAAACATTTTGGGATTGTCTTTTTGATTGCAGAAAGAATTGCAAATGTGTTGCTAGAAGAAATTTACTAAGTGGGGTAATAGATTGTTGTGTGTCACAGAATTCTCATTTTTATAATAGCAATGTATAATAAAATATTTAAGAAAACAAAGCTAGCACAACTGAAATCTGAAGTTGCCCGTATATTCTTATTTAGAGGCGTCTTTTATTATGGCAGACATCTTGAATTGCTTCACACTGGCAAATTTAATGTACCACTCAATTACTGTTCTTTAGCTCAATTTAAAATAATAGATTAGAGTAAGGTCTTAATGCAGTGTAACCTTTGGAACATGAGAAATAACCTCTTTCTTTCTAGAAATTAGTATACATACAGTAAGGATATCAGTTTTATCATACTGCATGAATGGATTCGTAATAGCATTTAGTATTATACTTACTAATTATACTTATTACATAAGTATGCTGATTTCTTCTTGCTCACTAAACATCCTAATATTAATTTAAAGATGACGCTGTTATCATAACATTTGAAAATATATACTTTGATTTTAAAGCTTTTTTGATGACCTGATTCTTATTCTGGTGAGCAACACAATTTAGGGGTGTCTTAATAGCTTTATATTATTTCATAAAATGGGTGTTTTGTAAGTATTTGTGATAGTGGATATTATGATAAAATTGTAGCTGTGCAAAGGTCCTCATTCTCGCTTTCTTCTTTAACAGTCATATGTACTGCTAAGAAAATATAATGAAAATATTAGGACTTTATTTGAGGAATTGGAAAAGGACTTTTTAAAAAGAATGTTATCTTACTGTGATGCTACCTCTTAATGATAGTTACTGGCTTTTTCATTTCTTATAAAATGCAAATTTTTCACACTAGGTGAAAATGTTCACAGAAACTAATTTACACACCCCTTCAAATTTTGTTTTTGAATAGGGGATAATACAAACAAGCAGATAGTAATAAAACTAATGTACATACTCTGAAATGATGGTCTTAATGGTGCTGATGGAAGGTTTCCAATTTGAAGCAAAGCAGTCGTTTTTAAGAAACAAATTATGTTGGAATGTACATTATTAAAAATATGTAATGCCAAAATGCAATATTGGACATATTTATCTTATTTCTATTTCTGTTGTTGATGACCAAATAATAGACCAAGATGATTGATTTTATAAGCTAAATCTTGATCATCTTACAATGTTTATATGTTCCCAGTGCTGTAGATGCAACTACATGAAAGACGTAACAGCTATGACTTGAAATCATAGTCTCTAGAAGATCGATTCCTTTTCTATATAACCCATGATTTTCAAAACATGGTTTGCAGTCCACCTATGTCAGGAATCCTCCGTGATGCTTCATAAAATGTGAATTCCTAGGCCCCACCACAGAACTACCATCCTAGTGCTGATACCAGAACCCTACAGTTTTAATAAAAATCCTAGATTATTTTTTATGGGTGTCAAGGTTTGTAAATTAATGCCCTAGAGCAGAGGTCCCCAAACTTTTTTTGTGAACTGCTAGATAGTAATATTTCCAGCCTTATGGATTTTGTTGCAACTGTTCACCTCTGCTATTAAAGCACAAAATCAACGACAATAATAAATAAACAAATGGGCACAGCAGCCAGATTCAGCCCAAGAATTTGCAGGTCTCTGATAAAATCAAGATGGTTGAGCAATGATTTTTCCTCTATGAATCTTTTCTAAGGCATTATGGCTGAAATCAGTTTTGTGATTTCCTCTTTTTATTTTTTTAAAACTAAAGAAAATCCACAAATATAGGAGCTCTTCCTGGATAGACATCAAATTAATAGATGTAATACCTTGGTAATATTTAAAGACTTTTTTATGTTAATATTAAGGAGAGAGTGAGTATCTTATTTATAACCATGTAACCTGCTTCTAACACTAGGTTCCTGTGGCTAGAGCAAGTATTCTTTGGCTAATTGGAGAAAACTGTGAACGAGTTCCTAAAATTGCCCCTGATGTTTTGAGGAAGATGGCTAAAAGCTTCACAAGTGAAGATGATCTGGTAAAGCTGCAGGTTTTAAACCTGGGAGCAAAATTGTATTTAACCAATTCCAAACAGGTAAGAGGCTCATTCTTACTAACTTCTGCCTACTTTCTTCTTTATTCTGATAAAGCAACAAAGGCTTGTTCATGCACTAGTCTATTCGTTTAGCAATTAGTATCTGTCTGTTTCTTTTTTTTTAATTTTTAAATTTTTAAAATTGTATTTATTTCATGACCATGTATCCCCCTTACTCTTGTCACTGCAGTCATCACACTGTTATTGTCCATTCCATGAGTCCTTTTCCTTTTTGCTCAGTTCCTTTACCCGCTAACCACCCCCCACCCAGAGCTGTCATCCTGCTCTCCATCTATGAGTCTGTCCCTGTTTTCCTTGTTAGTTCAGTTTGTTCATTAGATTCCACATATGAGTGAAATCATATGGTATTTGTCTTTCTCTGACTGGCTTATTTCATTTAGCATAATGTTCTCCAAGTCCATCCATGCTTTCGCAAAAGGTACAATTTTCTTTTTGATTGCCAAGTAGTACTCCACTGTGTATATGTCCCATAGTTGTTTTATCCCCTCATCTACTGATAGACACTTGGGCTGCCTCCATATCTTGGTGATTGTAAAAAATGCTGCAGTGAACACAGGGGTGCTTATTGTTCTTTTGAATTAGTCTTTTGGGCTTCTTTGGATATATTCCCAGAACTGGGATTGGTAGGTTAAAAGGCAGATCCATTTTTAATTTTTTGAGGTATCTCCATATTGCTTTCCACAGTGGCTGCACCAGTCTGCATTCCCACCAACAGTTTCAAAGCATCCCCCTTGCCCAACATCTTCGCTGACACTTGTTCTTTTTGATTTACTGGTGATAGCCATTCTGATAGGTGTGAGATGATATCTCATTGTGGTTTTAATTTGCATTTCTCTGATGGTTAGTGATTGTGAGCATCTTTTCCTGTGTCTATTGGCCATCTGTATGTCCTCTTTGGAGAAGTGCCTATTCAGATCCTTTGTTCATTTTTAAATCTAGTTGTTTGTGTTTTTGGTGAGTTTTGTAAGCACTTCATACATTTTGGATATTAACCCCTTATCAAATGTATCAGTGAGTATATTCTCCCATTTTGTGGATTGTCTCTTTATTTTGCTCGTGTTTTCCTTTGCTGTGTAAAAACTTTTAGTATGATGAGGTCTCATTTATTTTTCTTTTGTTTCTCTTGCTGGAGGAGCTATATCAAAAGAACTATTGCTACAAGCAATGTCCAAGATTTTTGCTGCCTATTGTTTTCTTCTATGATTTTTATGTTTTCAGGTCTAATATTTAAATCTTCAATTCATGTTGAATTTATTCTTGTGTGTGGTATAAGAAAGTGGTCTAGTTTCATTTTTCAGCATGTACCTGTCAATTTTTCTCAACACCATTCATTGAATAAGCTATCTTTAGCCCATTATATATGTTTGCATGCTCTGACATATAATTATATATGCCCATTATATATGTTTGCTTCCTCTGATACATATATTATAATTTAATATAAAGGTGTGGGTTATTTGGGGGCTCTGTATTTTGTTCCATTGATTTATACTTTTTGTTTTTATGACAGTACCATGCTGTTTTGGTTCCTGTGGCCCTGTAGTATAGTTTGATATTAGGTGGCATCATTCCTTCCGCTTTGTTCTTCTTCCTCAGGATTGCTGTTGCTATGCAAGGCCTTTTGTTCTAGTTCTTTTTGAAATATTTGAATAAATTTTTAAAATATTTGTTCTAGTTCTGTGAAATACATATTGGAATCTTGATAGGAATTATGTTGAGTCTATAGGTTGATTTGGGTAGTTTGGACATTTTAATGATGTTAATTCTTCCTTATCCATGTGCACAGTATGTGTTTCCACTTGTTCGTATCTTCAGTTTCTTTCTTCAGTGTCTTATAATTTTCCAAGTACAGGTCTTTTATATCTTTCATTAGACTTATTCCTAGGTAGTTTATTCTTTTTGAACCTATTTTGAATGGGATTGTTTTCTTAATTTTCATCTGTAATGGATCATTATTGGCATATAAAATGCAACTATTTTCTGGATATTAATTTTGTATCCTGCTACTTTGCTGAATTCATTTATCAGTTCTAGTAGTTTCTTGGTGGAATCTTTGGTGTTCTCTATGTACATTATCCTGTCATCTGCAAATTAAGACAGTTTTATAATACTTATTCTTTTCTAATTTGGATGCCTTTTGTTTCTTCTTCTTGTCTGATTGGTATGGCTAGGACTTCTAGCAGCACTATGTTGAGTAAGGTAGTGAAAGTGACATCCCTCTTTTGTTCTCAGTCTTCAGCACAAAAACTACAGCACTTGTAGTTTTGCCTGCTGATATGATGCTGGCGTGGGTTTGTCATATGTGGCATTTATTATGTTTAGGTATGTTCACTCTCTTTCCACTTTGCTGAGAGTTTTTATCATAAATGGGTGCTGGATTTTATCAAATGGATTTTCTTTATCTATTGGTATGATCATGTGGTTTTTATCCTTTATTTATATGGTGAATCACATTTCTTGATTTGTGAATGTTGTACCAACCTGGGCATTCCTGGAATAAGTCCTATTTGATGTATTGCTATCTTGGGTTTGCTAATACGTTGAGGATTTTAGCATCTCTGTTCATCAGGGATATTGGCCTATAATTTTCTTTCTTTGTAGTGTCTCTATCTGGTTTTGGAATTAGGGTAATACTGACTTCATAAAATGAGCTTGAGAGTCTTACCTAATCTTGAATTTTTTGAAATAGTTTGAGAAGGAGAGGTGTTAGTTCTTTTTGGAATGTTTGATGAAATTCGCCTGTGAAACCATTCGATCTAGGGCTTTTATTGGTTGGAAGTGTTTTGATTACTGCTTCAATTTCACTAGGTATAATCTGTCTATTCAGATTTTCTGATTCTTCATGATTTTCTTTTGGAAGATTGTATGTAGATTCTGTAAATTTATCCATTTCTTTCAGGTATTACAGTTGGTTGGTATGTAGTTGTTCATAATATTTTCTTAAAGTACTTTGTTTGGTATCAGTTGTTATTTCTCCTCTTTTATTTCTGATTTTATTTATTTGGGTCCTCTTTCCTTTTTTCCTAATAAATCTGGTTAAAGGTTTGTCTATCTTGTTTCTCCTTTCAAGAGTCAGCTCTTGGATTCATTGATCTTTTGTATCATTTTTTAGACTCTTGTTTATGTCTGCTCTGATCTTTATTATTTCCTTTTGGGGTTTTATTCACCTTGGGCTTTGTGTATTGTTCTTTTTCAGGTTCCTTTCGGTATAAAGTCACGTTGTTAATTTAATCTTTTTCTTGTTTTTTTTTTTTTTGGCTTTTTTTTGGTGATAGGCCTGTGATGCTATAAATTTCCTCTTTAGGACTGCTTTCCCAGTGTCCCACGGATTTTGGGTTGTTGTGTCTCATTTTCATTTGTTTCAAGGTATCTTTTGATTTATTCCTTATTCTCATTGTTACCCCATTCATTGTTTAATAACATCAGTTAGCTTCTATATCTTTGCATAATTTTCAGTGTTCTTTTGTGATTGATTTCTATTTTCAAAGCAGTATGATCAGAGACGATGCTTGATATGATTTCAGTCTTCTTAAATTGATGAGACTTGTTTTTTGTATTAGCATGTGGTCTGTCTCACAAAAGGTTCCATGTGCTCTGGAAAAGTATGTACATTCTGCTGTTTTGGTTTGAAATGCTCCGAAGTTATCACTTAAATCCATTTAATCTAATGTGTTGTTTAAGAACACTGTCTCCTTATTGATATTCTTTTTGGAGGATCTAGCCATTGAAGTCAATGGGGTGTTAAGATTCCCTGCCATGAGGTATTTCTATTGATCTCTCCCTTTATGTCCATTAAGATTTGCTTAAAATATTTAGGTGCTCCTATATTGGGTGTATAAATGTTTACTAGAGTTACATCCTTTTGTTGGATTGTTCCCTTTGTCATTATGTAGTGTCCTACTTTGTTTCTTACTGTAGCCTTGGTTTTAATATCTGTTTTGTCAGATATAAGTATCGCTATCCCAGCTTTTTTCCCCCTTTCCATTTGCATGAAATATCTTTTTCCATCCCTTTATTTTTAGTCAGTGTGTGTCTTTCGATCTGAGATGGGTTTCTCGGAGGCAGCATATATGTGAGTCTTGTTTTCTAATCCATTCAGCTACCCCGTCTTTCGGTTGGAGTATTTAAGTTGATTATTGAGAGTGACGTTTTTATTGCCATTTTATTTTTAAACCATTTTCCTTTTTTTTCCCCTGGGTAAAAAAGTCACGCAGCTTGGGGTTTAGACCCCCTCCCACTTTTTAAGGGGTACCCCCTGGCTGCTGAAATGTCCCTCTGGAACTTCAGTTGCTGATTGTGGAAGCCCAGCCAGCCCTCTCATGCGTCCTCTGCACTCTGTACCAGTCATGTTGTGGTAAAGCTGTTTCTTTGGTCTGTTCATGGTTATAAGGCTTCTTTCTCACTATTGTTCTGTTGGTTGTTCAGGATGATTTTTCTTTAATTTAATTGTAATTCCAGTTTGGTCCTGGAAGAAGGTTAGTGTAGCATCTACTTACTCCATTCCCATCTTGGAGCTATATGTGCCTATTTCTTTAAGGTTCTAGAATAGATGGTAGTTGTACAAAGAGATGATATTTTAGTCTAGTAGGGGAGGAAAACATAAAAAATGAAATAGTATTTGCTAAGTGCTATGATAGAACTACTGAGATACAGTTGAACTCCAGAGGAGAAAGTTGTTGAAAGTCTGAAGTAGAAGGAGGAGACAGGTCAAAGAAAGTCTCACAAAGGACAAGAATCCTAACTACGGGCTTCTAAGGAGGGGTTTACTATACAGGAGAGGGAAGGAGGAGAGTAGAGGCACGAAACAGATTGGCATTTTCAGCACGCTTAAAGCTGAGTCTGGAAAGGCAGGCAGGTGTTTTCAGCACACTTAGAGCCAAGTCTAGAAAGGCATTTGCTGTTCTAGGGCCAGGACTTGGAATAGCAAATGCTATGGACCTTGTTCTACAGGTACAGGGAAATCAGTAAATGTTTTTTAA